GAACCTTCCAGACCACAGGGAGGACAACAGCCAGGCAGATCTTCCTCAAGAGAACCAGGACAGAGTCACAGGACTGGGGGTCTGCCGAGCCAGCGGGAACTTGTGCATCAGGAGAAACAGACCTGCTGGGATGGAGCTCTGTGGCCCTCCCTGCTACCCTAGTCTCATCGGCATTTGTCCCATGCCGGACCCCGACCCACCTACGGCCCTGCCAAGGAGGCAGTGGCAGGCAGAGCACTGGAGCCTCTGCCCTTCTCCACTGGGACCCTCGAGCCAGGCAGCCCTGGCAGCTGCAGGGCTCATGTGGGGCTCACACGGGGGTAGCAGAGAAGGAAGACCCCATGGGACCATGAGTTCAGGGTGAGCGCAAACTCAGTTCATATCCATCCACTGAAGGACTGAGGGCCCCTTGTGTGATTGACCACAGCTCCAGGGTCCCATCCTGGAGTGAAGCTGACCCCAGCAAAGCAAAGGGGAAGGCGCGCAGGCTCAACAGGTGAGCAGCCGGCCACAAACACATCCAAGCCGTTCTTCTGACAAAGGGCAGAGTCACCACCAGGTTGGGAGCCGCCTGGCCCAGGATCCTTATATCCACTTGGGGACAGACCTGGTCAGGAAGAGGAGGGAGGGGCGGCTGCTGAGCTGGACCTCACAGGTGGTAGGAGGCACGTGCTCACTGTTCACTGTCCCTGAATCAGCCCCATGACCAGCTGCAGACTGGACCACTGTGATCCACAGGACTTGACCTTAGACAGTAGGTGTCTATGTCTGGAAACTCTGCTGAAACCTGACCCGAGGTGGGCAGTGGCATTGGTGCACTGTTTGGGAATCAAACCCAGAATCACTCTTGCCCACTTTTCAGACAATGAAACCCAGGCCCAGAGAGTTGTCCAAACTAAAACCCAGTGCTGCTGGTTCAGTGAATTCTGACTCATAAAGAGGGAAAAAAGGCAAAGGCCAAAAAGACCACTGAGGTCCAGAATAGAAAGCACCCCCCCACCCCCCCACCCAATCTCAACAGCAAGATCTCCAGGAAATCAAGGCTGGACTTGAATACCTCCAGGATACAGGACACTCTGGGGATGGGATGGGGGCAGGTTGTGGGGCAGGCAGTCCGAAATCCCACCCTGGGTTCACAAAGCCTTGAGTCTTAGGGGTCCCATTCATGGGATCAGAGACAATTTTTGTCCCTGTCCAGCACAGCCCAACCCATTGTGGCTTCTCCATGCCCCTCTCCCTCCTGCTCTACAGCCCCCAAGCCCAGCTGGCCAAACAAAGTGCAGGGACTTGGGTTTGAACTGACTTTATTATCTTGTAAATGTGAATTTTACAAAGCGTTCTACAGTGAATGAATGACCACATCCTTCCGTGTGGGTGACAGCGGTCCACACTGGAGCCTGGGTTTGCCCATGTCTCTGTTGTTTGAGTTACTGATAGGATGTCAGCCATGGCTCAAAGTAACAGTCTTCACTCTACGGAGTAACAAGCCGGCGGACGCAAGGACAAGCGTCCTCCTTCAAACAGAAGGAATTCTCTTTTGTGGCTAAAACCTAGCTCAACCTTCCTTATGCGCGGCAAGGGCTCACATCATTCATTTATTTTTTAACAGTCAAGAGTTACAGCACTGCTTTAACCCGGAAACAGACTCTAAAACAAAACAGAACAAAACAACCAATCGTCTCCTTTTAAAAAAAAAAAGTCTCTTTTCCCCAAACATTCTGTCCAAAGGATTAATGCTCTACTTGTATCAAGTACCACCCAAATGTTCCAGTCAAAAATATTCCTACGTTTATACTTGGGGTTTTTTTTTTGTCTGCTAAAAATAGTATTGTAAGTTTTGGCTTCTTTTGACATAGAAATCACAGTCATGTGCAAAACGCCACACTGGAAGGGACTGATCAGAACACAAGCAGGTTCTCCAACTCAAATGCCTCAGGCTCTGCATGACTTCCCTGTTTCTTTTTTTCCTCTTTCAAAACCACAAACAAACAAACAAAAGCACGCAATCACGCTGTTTTTGGAAACATCTGGTGCCCAACCCTGGGAGGGCAGTTACAGCTGGACACAGCTATGGGGGCTCAGTCCCGTGTTTAGGGTTTCCTGCTGCCAGACGCTGACAGGCTTCCTGGGAGTTTTCAGTTGGTTAATGGGCCATAAAGCCTTTTCCACCTACAGCAAGATAATCCCATAAAAATCATCCATCTGAGGCGAACCCAAGCGGAAAATGACTGAGGGGCAGTGTCGGGCCAGGCCGCCCCCCAAACAGCTAGAAGGTCCCAGTCATTTAGGTTCATCTGAAACTGGGACAGGCCAGACCCACAGCTCCACGCTTGTCACATCCCTTCTAGCCCTTTTAAACCCAAAGAAGACTGGTTCTGACTTCCAGCCCCACACCTGCCAGAGACTGGGCGGAGGGGTGCCTCCATGGACTCCCAGCTCGTTCCGGCCTCTCATCCACAGCTTTGTCCACATTCAGGGGCAAAATACGACAAACAACCAAATGCAAAGGTGGGCAACCACAGAGAACTCTGGGCGAGGCCAGACACAGTGCAGGACAAGACAGAATTCAAGTACCAGGCGCCGGCCAGGCGGACCACCCAGCTGCCTCTGGCGCCGCGTTCCCACTCTGGGGAGGCAGGAGAAGCTGCTCCATCTAGGGCACCTGCCTGCTCACCCCACAACAGTGCCATCCTCTCTCTCCTCCAGAAAAGGTGCTGATATAACTTAGCTCGACAAGAAACTCTATATATGATATGCGTATTGCTAATAGTCAGGCTTAGGAATAAGGTGCAGACTTGTCATAAATACTGAACGAGCGGCTCGTCTCTCGGGCTACGGGGTCTGGGTGAGCCAGGTTCACTGCACGGGACAGGACAGCCCCGGTTCTGGGATTAGTCATCTTGTAAACAAAGGAGGGGAGGGTTTGAGTTCTGGAATTGGGGTTCCTGGGGATGGGGGATGAAATGGTCAGAATATGCTAAGGCACTCTGGAAGGCCCCTCCGAGCCGGCCCGCTGCGCTGCTGCCGCCGCCACCACCTGCCCGCAGTACATTCAGGACACGGAGGGAGCCCCGCGCAGGTACAATCATCAGCCACACGCGCCTGCCAACACCCGTCCGGGGGACGCGTTAGTGCAAAACGCTCGGCCCGGCCCGCCCGGGGCTGGGGGAGCTCACTGTTCACATTAATTAGTACTGTCTTTTTCAGCTTCATCTATAGCTCTTGCCTTCCTTACCTAGAACAACAAAACAGACGGTGACTGAAAGTGACAAAGGGACAGAGGTCTCGGGGCATTGTGCCAGCCTGAATCACGCACACTCCGCGTGGCCACTGTCCCTGGCCCAGGGTCCTGGGGGCGTGTCCACGCTAGAGTAGAGGGAGAGAGCCCCTCAGTCAGCAGCCAAGACAGGTGGCCTGTCTCCCAACCGTCCCCAGTGATGGTCAAAGTAAAGTGCAGATTTGGGTAGGGGCGCAGATGACAGAAATCTCCAGAGGGAGGTGGTGGCATGCCACCTTCACCTGTACTGCCTGAGGACTCCCCTCCTCTGTGCCCTAGGACCAGGGGTGTCAGCCACAGCAGGAGCCCCCAGGCCCCTGGAAAGCCACTGTCAGCCCACAGGACACAGGGCTGGTGAGGCTTGCCCAGGGGTATGGGTGGAGGAGTTGAGAAACCTGCCCACACTGCCCACCTCTGCTTCCTTTCTGGAAGACACCAGATCTTTCTGGAAGGCAGGTGGGTATGTGCTTGGCCCAGTGGCCGGTGGGTAGTGGGGAGAGGGAAAGGGGCGGGGAAGGCCTAGGAGCCTAGCCAGAGGAAATATGCTTCCTCCAAGTGCTTCTCCTAGCTGGGAGGGGACCCGGCTCAAAGTCCCCATTCTCTAGTTGTGGGAGGGCCCTAGCTTGTGGCCAGCAGGGGGCGGGGGCTCTGGACAGAAAGGATGGGGCCCCATGGGATCAGAGAAGTGAACAGCAGTGGAGAGGGAGACGGCAGAAGACAGCCCTGCCTGGTTCCCTCCCCCTGCCCCACCAGGTGGTCCCCCTACAGCCCTTCACACCTTGTGCGCCCCCCCAAAACAGAGGCTGATTCTCACAGGTCAGAGCAGCTCCTGGGACCCTTCCTCACTGGCCTCCAGCCTGGCCAGCGCCGCCCACCCACAGCTTTGGCACCACTGGAGGTACGTGCTACCCAAGGCACATGTGAGGGAGCTCACACTAGGAGACCCCATGGTGGCCCCCTAGGCCAGCAGGGTCCACCCCCAGAGAAGGGCCAACTGTTTTCCTCATGGGAGGAGAGTGGGACCTACTCAGGGTAGGGGAACAGGGAACTCCCCCTGACCAGCTCACATGACCCCCGCTCCCTGAAAACTCCTTTGTACCTCCTCCATTTTTGCCATTTTGGGTCCACAACAGAGGAAACGGATCTTAATTAAATGAACCAAACAAGCAGAATCCAACAGTAGCTAAGGAGGTGAGCCAACATCAGGGGCACTTTCACCCACAAAAGCACAGAAGGCCCCCACCAAAGAATAGTGGGAAGCTCATTCCTGGTGCGTGTGTGTGTGTGGGGGGGTGCTTGAGGGGCACCTGGCAGAGCAAGGGCACTGGATGGGGGTGGGGGGGCACGGGGAGGAATGCAATGCAGCCAAGGTCCTTCCTCCCTCACAGGGACGAGCAGCACGCACACCTGCTAGGTCCACACCACGCCGACCGTGTAGGGCCTGGCCGCTGGGGTCCCCTCAGGTAAGGAATGGAGAGTCATACTGTGAGTTACTGGGGGCTGCTGGCTTCATCTTCCTGGGCAGAAGGACTAGGAGGGACAGGCGAGGGAAGGGAAGAGGGCAGGGCTGGGCATCAGGGCCTGAGGGGCCTCTTGCCCCGTCCCCAGGGGAGGGGAGGGCTACAGGTGGGAAACTAACCTGGGGACTATCCAAGGGAGCCCTGGGACCTTCTGTAACTCGGTCTCCAGTGCTCTAATCGTTTACAGTATAACGAACGCAGTATTTCCTTCATGAGTTTAGATACAAGCAGTCAAGTCACATTTTCAGGCAATAGTAGCAGTTCAGTAGGGTCGTGGCCCGATCACATTGGTCTGTATTAGTATAGCATGCAAGCAGCTCTAGTGCTGAGGTCTTTAGGAGTCCGCGGCCATGCCTTCCTCCGCCCGCCGCCCCTTACAAAGTCCCTGCGTAGCTGCCCGGCTCTGGTCTCCGGGCCGGCGTCTCGGGCCGGCTGGAGCTAGCACTGCCCTGCTCGAAAAGCTGGGGTGGGCTCTGGCCATCGGTGGACAGTGGCTCAGGCGCGGCTACCTCTTGGATGACCGAGCCGGCCCCATCGGCCTCCTCGCCGGCCTCAAAGGCAGGGTTGTTGGCGGTGGTGGCGGCGGCCAGGTCTACATTCACGGTGTCCGTTCTCAGAGCCACGATGGCGGCAGCATCACCCCGGCGCTCGGCGAAGAGGCGCTGCTCGAACACTTGGGCGGCGGCGGGGGGCTGGAAGTCGGGGTCAAGGGGCATGCTGGCGGCTGAGGCGCCCATGACCGTGCGGTACATCTCCACACCCTCAGGCAACATGGACTTGATCTTGGGCAGCCAGCGCTTGCGGACTCGGCGTGCATTGGTGCACATGTCTGCGGCGATCACGTTCATCTCACTCTCCTTGAAGCTCGGGGCAAAGTTCTGGCAGTACACTGTAATGAGAGAATGGCTGTGGGCGTGAGGCCCCCCTGCCCGGACCCCTCAACTGCCTGGCCGAGAACTGAGCCACAAGGGCGAGTTTAGTTCCAAATCTGAAGAGTGGTCAAGGGCCACACCTCAGGGCTTCCAGCAGACTCCATCTGACCAGTAAGCTCCACATTTACTCCGACTCTATTCGGGCCCTTTCAGAGCAGTGGGTAGTGGGGGCACCATCTAGTTTATCTGGTCTTGAGGTCCAGGGGACTAATGTTCACCTGGTCTATGAATCCAGTGTTTTAACAGATTTCCGATGTGTTCAGTTCCCATCCCTCCTCTTCCCTTCTCACAGGGAGAGACCATCACGCATGAGCTTTAAGATCAGCAGAGCAGGACACTGTCTTTGTGGACTGTATTTTGCCAATTGACCACAGTGTCCCTTAGACTATGGTCCTGAGGCCCAGTGTTTCGTACTCTCTAACTGGCCCGCATTCATGGATGTGTCTACAGCAGAGGTAACTAACCACGTGCAAATCCTGTCAATCCTTTATACATTTCTCGGTGGGTAGACGCCCACTGGTCCACCCACAGCCATGCAGACCCTCTAACTACCGCAGGGCTGGGTGTTAACAGCGATGCCCGCACTCCTCCCTTGTAGCCTCCTTTTGTCACCATTGTTGGCTCAGTTCTGACTCACAGCACCCTGTATAGCAGCTGGTGGGTTTGAACCACCAACCTTGTGGTTAACAGTCCAGTGCTTATCCTACAGTGCCACACCAGGTCTGCCCTCTAGCCAGTAAACAACTCTTCCTTCTCACCCCTGGTAACCATTAAAGAATGCCTCTTTTAGCATAAAAACCTTTTCTTGACACTTTATAATCTTTGTGTTTTTGTGACTGGCTCATTTTACTCAGCTTCACCCATGTGGAGGTGTTTCAGATTCCTCATTATGCTTAATGATAACGTAGGCATGTTGGTCCCCGCCCCCTCCACAAAGACTGCCAGGGTCAGAGGTCACGCAGCAGGGGGTCTGGACAAGCCTGGCCAGCACTTAGTGTCCACCTGAGACTTTCTCACAGGGGTGAGGGCAGCTCAGTGGAAGAACCACAAATGGAAGCCAGGGTCTTGGTTACCATCCTTCCTCAGAGGCTGGACGCTCTGGGGGGCGGGGCTGTAACGAACAACCACCCAGCTTCCCTCTTGGCATTGGGACTTCTACTGATGCTGCGAAGGAGGTACAAAGTCAGACAGTGCTTCTGATGACCAGTAGGGACTTGCAGCTGGCCAGCTGGCTCCGTGACGGACAGGGGACTGCTTAGGCCACATCTGGAGCTGTGAGGATGCCGGCGGTCTGCCATGGAGATGGACCCGCTCCGCCCCCGCGCACCCAGGAGCGGGAGACAGAGCGGCCGAGCAGATGGCACCGGCTGAAAATAACCTCAAGATGTAAATAAGGGGTTTGTTCAAAAAGGAAAATTAGATCTATTTCACATATTAAAATAGTTTCACAGCTGAATTCATCATGCTTAGAAACCTTCCAAAACCGTTAACACCTCAAGACCTGGTTTTTGAGAACTGCTCTTTTCTCTCGAAACTGGCGTCAGCGTGCCTTGCTGAGACATGGTGGGATTTCAGTGCACCCGAGACATAACCCCCCCAAGACCCCGACTCTTACGTTTCACAGCATTCAGGACTCGGCTGTCAAGTGGCTTGCGGCTGGGGTCACTGGTCGAGGAGCGGATGCCAGTTCCGCAGCTGTTGGCCAGAGTGTTCCTGGGAGGACAGAGGGAGACTGAGGTGCTGCCCAGGATGCCAGTGGGAAGGAAGACCCCCGCCCTGAGCCCTTTGGGAAATGTCCACAGAGCCAGCCCTCCCCCATCCCCATTTCAGTGGGGCCTCTATGACCAGACATAGCTCACAGCCCTTTAAAAGGGCCTCTGGACCCTCTCTGCCCCCCTGGGACCCACCTGTCGAAGAAGGTGGCCAGGAGTCTACGCAGCAAGACCTTGTGCTTCACTCCCGCACACAGGTGGCAGTTCATCAACTGGCCCCGCGTGATGTAGACGCCAGAGCCTGCAGCCACCAAGCAACAAGAAGTGAGACCCTCGGCTGGTGGGGGCGGAGCACAACAACCCCCACCCTGAGGGTCTGGGAGGGGGTTTCTGCCCCAAGGCCAACCATACTGTCCCAAACCCCCCCTACCCCAGCCCCTGCACCCTCCTGTGGGAACAGTCAAAGCCTCAGAGGATTCTCCCAGGGCAGCTCTGCCCTCTCCATTCCTTCCCAAGATACCCAGGGGCCTTGGACAGTGACGCTGAGACTGACCAGTCACCCCAAAGGCTCCACAGGACCCTCCACAGTGGGGTGACCACACCAGCCAGCCCTGTCCCCAGAAGTCCTAGGAGTCTCCTGTGCCCTGGAGACTTCCATGGTCGTATCTGTGGCTGTTTTCACAGAGCATGAAGCACGGGGGTGGGGGAATTATTCAGGAGAGATCGCCTTTCTTTGTGGGGCAAGGTGGAAGGAAGACACAAGAACCCCTCTTGGTTGAGGAGCCATTGGCCTGACATGCTGACGGGCTGGTGCTGCCGTAGATGCACCATCTGGGCCCCAGGGGCAGCTTCCTAGCCACCCTGGACCACTTCCAGAACATGCCCATCCCGCTGACCTCTGGGTACACGGGGTGACCCTCCAACCCAACCCAACCCCACACCCTCAAAGCTTCGTCCCACCCTAACATGCCCACAAGGGTCACACATCCTCTTCTTATACACACACATCCCCGCTCCTGGCTTCCAGGAGCCGAGAGACCGAGGTCACAGATCACGTGACAAAGCACCTGCCTGGGCTTGCAAGTTCCTGACTGCCCTGCAGGACAGACAGGTGGACACCAGGAATACAGACAATAGCTCGGGGCTGGGAGCTGGGATCAGGGCCTCCAGCCATTGCCCCCATTCAGGTGTGCACTCCCCACCCTGCCCCCAGGTCTGGCTGTGGTCAGTCCTCCACCACGCACAACCCACCTCTGCCCAGGACAGGTCAGCCTGTGGTCCAGGACTACACAGACTACCTGAAAGTCAGCTCCTCCCCGCTATGCCCCAGATAGGCTACTGCTGGGTCAGTGTGTGTGTGTGTGGTTGTGTATCTGCTGCTGGCGTTAGGTGGAAGGGTTGTTCCACCATCACTTCCTCTAAGACTTGGGACCATAGCCACCTGGTGAGCACAGGGCTGACCACTCGGGACCCCAAGGGGCTGACCTGGGCTTGCCGCTCACCACAGCACTGACCAGACAACCCATGGGGGCGAGCGGCTCCCCTTTAAGAGTCCAGAAGCCCTCTCAGCCAGCCACTGCTCTGCAGTCCTGCTCAACAGCTGTCATTGACAGGAGAGAAGAATGTTCTAGAGCATTCCATATGCTGCCTGGATACATGGGGCCGAGGGACTAGCTACAGGGCTGCGTGCTTGGGGCCCCAAGGGAGTGGGGGACAGAGATGACAGGCAGTGCTCAGGCCCCCACATGGGCTGATGGTGCTGTGGGTTTTCAACTCTTCTTGAAAAGCCTTAAAAAGCTGCACAAATGAATCTCAGGGCTGGAAAGACCAATGCTCTGAGAAAGGCACGCCGTCCCAATGGGCATCTGGACTCGACTGTGTGAGTTTCTCTTCCAGAAGAAATCCATCTCTGGGCATTACTCACAAAGGCTGTGTTTCTGGGACCACGGAGGGGGAGCCGGGGAAAACACATACAGCCAGCTTTTATCTGTGACCTAAATTACAACACAATCTGGAGTCTCTCGTGCCAATCAGGGGATTCAATTAAAATGCTAAATTAATTCAATTGAGTAACCCCTCTTAATGATACATTCTTCCGAGAGGAAATGAGGGGGGGTCTGAGCAGCCCTTCCTGACTGATGGGTGGTGAATGCATTGTCCTGCAGGGAAGACATGAAGGAGGGACACTTGTCCATGGTGAATGGCGGGAGGGGACTCACCTGCCACCAGCTCCAGCTTCTCACCGGGGTCCCCCTCTGAGTAGAGCTTGGGGTGACAGCGATACCCGATCTGGCTGATGAGGCTGGCGGGCAGGGCCACCAGGTCTCGGCGGATGAGGACACAGGAACGGCTCTCCAGTGGCACTGGCTCGGGCTTTTCTTGCACTGTGGGCACAGAACCATGCAGGGGAGGGTGGGGCCAGATGGCCGGAGCCCCACCCCACCCATCAGGTGTGAGTCAGGCATGCTCCACACCCGACCCTGCGGGGAGTATGGGGAGAGATGGCCCCCACACAGCTCCCACAAGATGCCTACCAGGGCGAGGCTGCAGGTGACATGGGGTGGGGACATGGTGGTGGTGGTGGTGGTGGTGGTGTGTTTGTGTGTGTGTGTGTGTGTGTGTGTGTGTGTGTGCGCGTGCCAGGAGCCACATGGCGTCTAGAGTCCATGCTGGCCCCAGAGGAGCCCAGGAGAAATCTGTCCCCAGGCAGCATGGTGAGTAGTACACCCAGGGCATGGCAGGGCCGATGGCGCTGCCTGTGGGTGTCTGCCAGACAGACCACTACTGGGGTAGGGCAATAAAGGCCAGAGACACCCCCCCAAAAGCAGGCTCAGAATCTGCAATGGTAAAGAAAAGGGGGGCCCCACCAACGAGCTCCTCCTGCTGATCAGGTGCCTCTGCGCCCCTAGTCCCACTCTCTAAGGGTCTCCACAGTTCTCACAGTGGGTCCACGGAGCTCCAAGTCCAAGTGGGTGACAGAGGACCCAGTCCCTACACACACTCCCCACATACTACACACACACACTCCCCCACATGGCACACTCATCCCCACCCCCGCCAGGCATCACCTATCCGTCCATGCACCTCTTCTCTCATTCTTGGACAGACCTCTGCCACCAACCTCACCTGGAGACATGTGAGCAGTCTGCCCTGCCACCCAGCTCTGGGAACCACAGACACTCCCCAATGCGGAGGCCACAGCCTGAGTCTTGGCCAGCTGAAGTCATTAGGAAACTGCACCTGTTCTCCCCAGCCATCTCCAGGACACACACTGGTCGGTGTAGGTGGCTCCCAGCCAGGGCGTGTCTGAGTGTCCAGACACTGGGGAAGCTGCAGGGCATGAAGGCAGCTGGGAAAGGTCCCCCACCTGGGCACTCATGCTACTGCTCTCCTACCCCGTGACCTCTCCTTAGGAAAGGGGTCTGAGGGTGTGGGGCCTGCTTCTGGAGGACTCAAGGAGGGCGGGGGCAGCTCCCCATTCCCGAGCCCCCCAGAGCCTGTTGTGGGAACCTGACTTAGCTCCCAGCTCTCTCTGCACCAGGAGCCCTGGTAACATGGTGAATAAACCACAAAGTTGGGGGTTCAAAAGCCCCAGCTGCTCTGTGGGAAGAAGATGAATGAGGTCATCTGCTTCCAGGCAACCCTAAGGAGCAGTTCCTCTTCTGCCCTACAGGGAACCAAGAGTGGGACCGACCTGAGGACATGGGAGTATAAAGTCATCTCTGGATGGGGGCAGCGCCCACAGGGCTGACACCATTTCCCAGCTTACCTTGCTGTTGTTGGTTATTACCGCTCAGTCAGTTCCAAGTCATACCCACCCTGGTACAGCGTTTCTACGGAACTGCCGGTGTGTTTGAACCGCCAACCTTGTGGTTCAAACCGACCTTGCAGACCAGCGTGTCTCCCACAGTGCCATAGCAGGATTCTACCCACTAGAGTTGGACCCAAATCCCCATAGGCTCAGGGAAGGGCCCCTCCACCAGCCTTGTGCAGGACCAGGTGCCTCTGGGTCGGAATCCAAGCTGCTCATCAAGGTTCATGATGCCCACCTGTGCAGATGCCAGGCTCAGGGCAAGAGGGGAGTGCCCTCAAGTTGTCCAGTGGCTTCTGACTCAAGGCGACACCATATGACAGAGTAGGACTGCCCTACAGATGTTCCTCGGAAGCAGGTGGCCAGTCTGGGTGGGTTCTGACTGCCCACCTTTCAGTGACCAGCCAGGTACTTAGCCAATGCTCCCCCTGCAAGGTGGGAGAGCCCTGGCGGCACTGGGTGGTGGCATTCCCATCAAGCACGTATGGAAGCTGCGGAGGGGGACAGATGAGCAGCTCAGATCTTTACAACCTGGAATTACCCAGGGGTTCAGGGAACACAGGAAAAACAATCAGGAGGATATTTTAGAACTTAATTACCGCCCCCTCCCCGCACAGCCAGCCCATTACACATGCAACTGAGCAGCTCACGGGGGGGGGGGGGGCTGGCATTTACATAGAGTGTCACCAACAAACATCACTCCCATCCACAACCACCCTGTTCGGAGAGGTTTTTCTAAACAGCACAAGTTGTTTGTGCTCCCCATATTGGCCCCCAGGCCCACTCCCCCCCCCCAATACATCGGATCCAGAACAACCGAAAACAACTGCTATTTCTGCTCTGCTGCGTGCTGGATGCACCAGCTAAAAATACTCCAACCAAGTTGTAGCTCATCCGGGAAGGTGCTTCAAGCTTCTCCACACACTCGCCCGGTCCTCGGCCCAAGAAACAGAAATAGACCCCCCAAATCATCACCCCCGGAGTGGACACACCCTTGTTCCAGTGGTACCACCTGCACTTTGACACACCCCGCTGCCTTCACCAAGTGGGCTCAGGCCTGAACCTCCTCAGCTCCCAGGATTGCCGAGTACTGCGGGGTCCAGGAACCTGGAGAAAAGCACCTTTCAGGTAATTTGTGTTGACTGAGCTCAGTCTGCAGTGCCCATGGAGGAGAGGGGAGCTCTGGTCAGAGAGATCAGTGGCAAGGACTGATCTGGGCAAATGGCCCGGAAACCAAGGGCGGACAGGAGGCTCTGAGAGGGTACATGAGCCCACGGTCCAAGTAGATCAAAGCTTGGCTCAGGCAAGGTGCGACCCCTGTCCACGGCTCTTGACTTAGGGGAATGAAGCCCAGCTGAGCCTTTAAGGTCCCTCTGCTCCCTGACCAGGGTGGCTCATGAATGGGAATGATGGAGGGTGAGGAAGAAGGTCACTTTGCCCAACCCCCCCCCCCACCACCAGGTCAATGGTCATGGCAGGAGGTCCCAAACGATGACTAAAACCTGCTCCTGTCCCCAGGTGTCCAGCCCTCAGGGCCACCAAGGTCATGAGACAGATAACCTACTCAAAGGACACCATCCTTGGACCAACCATCTATTGGATCAGGAGCCCCGGGCAGACTGTGTCCAGGCTACCCCCAAGGTGAGCAGCTGCCTGCAGGTGGCCGGGAAGTTGAAGTTAGGACAGCTACAGCTAATCTCTGAGGTCACAGCCTGGGGAAGCCGTAGAGCACTGCGGGTGGGCTCACCCCAGGTAACTAACAAAAGTCCCTGACGTAAGACTGACTTACACAGTAAAGAAGGGGGGCCCTGGTGGGAGGTGCTTAAGTGTTCAGCTGTTCACCAGCGGCTCCACGGGAGAAAGACCGACACACAGCCTTGGCACCCCCACGGGGCAGTTCTGACTGCTCTACAGCGGGCGCTGTGGGCCAGAACCAACTCTGTAAGTCACCAAGATGGTGCACTATCAGCACGCGGACAGATACAGAGATCCAAAACCTGGCCCCCTGATTTCTGACCAACGTACAGACTTCATTCAATGGGGGAAGCATGGGCTTTTAACAAAGGATGCTTGAACAACTGTTCATCCAAACGCAAGCATGCAGACTGCCAATTCTAGAGGAAAAAACTTTGCAACTTGGGGTTAGAGCTAAAAGCACAATTGTGACCATAAAGAAGTAACTGACAAGGTGGACTGGATCAAACCTGATACTCTCTGTGCTGTGAAGGACTCCCGTTGCAGGACAAGCTATTGAGAGGCATCTGCAAACCACACGTTCACATAGAACTTGCATCTATGATATACAGAGAACACGCAATACTAAATGCTTAAGAAAACAAGGTAATTTAAGAAAACGAGGAAAGATTTGAACAAACGCTTCAACCAGAGGCGGCAAATGAACACATGAAAAAAAGTCCAACATTCTTTGTCATTAAAAAATGCATCTGAAACACTGTGAGATACCACTTCGTACCTCTTCTGGTTGGTATGTGCCGTGGAGTCGGTTCTGACTCATGGCGACCCTGTATAGGGTTTCTGAGGCTGTAAATCTTTACGGGAGCAGAAAGCCTCATTTTTCTCGGGCGGAACAGCTGGTAGTTTACAACGGCTGAGAGTGGCTAAACTTTCAAATCAACCTTATGGTTAGCAGTCCAATGCTGATCCTACAGTGCCACACTTTTAGTCCATACATAGCTTATGAACCCACAATTCCTACCCCCGCCCAGTGAGCGTCCTAACAGAGCAGAGGGGTCCCCCAGGGCTCTCTCCCTCAGAGGCATCGGGGTGGGTGCGGTTAGCAGCATGAGCTTACAGCAGCTCTTCAAAATCGCCCAACTGGAAACAACTCCAACAGTCTGCAGGAGAGACTGAGCACACTGGGGGGTCGGAACCAGTGCCCACCCTACACTACAGAGCCACGCCAGTACTTCTATGATGGATTACTCCTCAGCCCTAAAAGAACAATCGAGTCACAACTTGGGAGAATGTCAAATTCACTGCTGAGGGTCAGAGGCAGCCTGAGAGAATCCCATTCTAGAAGGCTCCACTTATGGGACATTCTCCAAACAATACTCCAGGAGTGTGGAGAAGAAGGGGGCAGTACAAGGGAGTCTGGGGGTGACAGGTTTGTGGTGGGTGTACACATCCACATGTATCCTAAGTCTTAGGAAACGACCACCAAGGTAGCTGAACACTGACCCCAAGCTGCAGCCTAGGGTAGGTAGCCTGGGGTCTGCAACCAGCTGCCTTCACAGATGCAGATGTTTTCTGGTTACCACTTTTCCTCTCAGTTCCGGTTTTCGGATCCCAGGATCCTGCCCTCTGGCCACAGCACTTTGCTCAGCAGCCAGAGCCCCCACCTCCACCCCATCCCCAACCCCGTCTGTGCGCTCTCCCATCACCTCCCCCTGCCTCTGAACATCACTGGGACGTCACTGCCCTCCACTGTCAGAGAGAAGGACAGGGACATAATAAAACCTATGTTCAGGGTGGGCACCCAGTCCTGCCTGACCCGCTTCTGCTCGGTGCCGCCCAACGGCACTCACATAAAAATGGAGAGCTGGTCTTCAGAAC